TGTGGAGCCTGGAGGTCTGCATTGGAAAAAAGGCTTAATTGTCTCCTATCAGACTGCTTCCAATTGTTATACTTGGGACCCATTAAATGAAAGTTCCTGGCATAGAAAAGTCACAAATTTTGGAGGAATTGGTAGGGATGTAATTTTTCCTGTTAAAATTCTAGGGTGGTTTCTGACTGCTTGAGCCTTACTATTGGTTATGCTGTGCTTTGGAAGAATCTGGCAGTTGCTTTGGAGAATTCCAGCTTTCTAAGTTGGAAAGTTAATAGCTGCCTTGCTCTGTTCAAGAATGTGCTTTATTCAGATCTCTCAGTGCTTCTGGGTATATTCTTTAACTGTTAAGACATTTTTGTTCTCTGGCTTTTGTATTCTGGTCATAAGAACGCTGTGAAGGTTTTGACAGACCTGTTTCTGATTGCATTCCTGCATTTTGGTAACTGTAATCTGCTAAAGGAGTTGCTGAATTTGAAGTTCACTACTGTTGGCAGACATGTTCTTTTAATAGGATTTACATGATTTTCCCTGCTCCTTGCCCAAGGCAGGGGGGGTTGGAAAAAAAGTAGGATACATTTCTTGAGGGGTTCAGGAGCTGATCCTCATGCTCCCCTGTCCCTGTAGCAGACTGGCATTTTGGTCCAAGTGTAGTTTTTGTAGTTACTTGAATATGTAGTGTTTTACTGCAGATTGTGTGGTTACTATTGTGTATCTGAATAGCAAAATGGAACAAAATTCTGTGCTGGACAGAATAACTTTGTTTGGGGTAGTGCTTTTCAAAAACATTCAGGACAAAAATGCCAGGGCAAGCTTTTGTTTGTCTGGACATGTGAACCATAGCTGGCTTAGTCTAGAAGTCACAGCCTAGCTGTATCACTCAGGGGGAAAGGTAAGGCATGATTTGAGTCTTGCTTTTTTGGCAGTGTATTGGGTTTATGTGTCAAGGTTTTACTCTTATTTCCCATTTTCCTTCTCTGATTTGATTGGTAATAGATTAACAATCCAATTACCCAAACAGGGTTGGCAATTGCCCATGGCAGTAACTGGTGAGTGATCTCTGTCCTTATCTCTCCACACAGCCTCTGACCTTTTTGTATTATTTTCTCTCCCCTGCCCAGTTGTGAGGGGGGAGTGACAAAATGGCTTTGGTGGGCACCTGGTGTCCACCTGGTGTTGGGTCAACCCAACACATGCAGGGTTTTTGGCTGTTCCCCCTGAATAGGATTCTTCCATGTACTCCTTGTGCCTTATTTCAAGCTTGAGAGTGGACAGCAGGCAAAACTTAATCCATAACTGTAGCCTCATCACTTGGGAGCCAAAACAAAAGGAGAGCAGAGTCCAAACTGCTGATCTTTGATGGGAGTGGCTTGGAAGTATTTGGGCAGTATACAGTCTAAGCAAAATGCTTCTGCTTTTCCAGTGTGTGCTGACTGAAATCCCATTGGTAAGGCATATGGCTCTATTTGCCTTTTTTATAGCCAAGAACAGCCAGCCAAAGATTCAAGCATTGTTCTTTAGATTTTTATTCTGCTATTTTGTTTTCATTAGTAGACTTCCTTTCAAATGAAATCTTGCTTAGGCTAAACTGGCTAACCATATGTGGAATAGTAATTATAGTTCATCCAGAAGTAAAATTGTGTTACCACCACCAGACCTGGTTTCTGCATGCACAGTACAGTACAAATACTTCTGGTATTTCCATGTTGTCTGACCAGCTCTGAGAAAAAAAAACTTGTATATGTTTATGACAGGGATGGAAGGCACTCCTAATGTAACTGGGAAACACTTGGTATTGAGAAGGGGAGCTGGGCACAGTCAGCAAAGCAAGGCAGTTTATCAGGCCTTTATATGCAGGTTCTTGGTTCTGTGGAGGCATGGAGGATTCTTTTGTTCTCCAGCCTGCCACTCAAGGGTGTAGGTACAAATTCCTACTGTGGGTGCACACAGTGTCTGGCTCTGTATCACTCTGTGGAGATCCTCAGCCTTTGAGTGGACAAATGGGTGTCATCTCTACTACAAAATTTTTAGGGAAAGGGAGTTTTGTGAATGGTGCTGTCTCCAAAGCATCTCATGCTAAAAGAGTTTCCTGTATTGCTTTATACTGTTAGGTAAGGAACAGAGAGGGTTCCCTTTTTGCATTTTGGAGGAACAAAAGAATAAAGTGCCAAACACTATTGCATGCTTTGGGCAATACTTTGGCAATGTGAACAGACTGAACCCTTAAATGCATTGTTGTTAATGTTAATGGCTTAGTGTTTGAGGAGTCTGGATGCAAGTAGTACTTTTGAGTGGCTTTTATTTGTCTCTTAGTTTCTTTTATTTTTAATAATTTTTTTTTTTTTAGAACTGTGGCTTTAGAGTTGTTTACTACCCAGGTGAAATATGTTCAGTGCCAGAGCAGCATGTGTACAGATGACTGATACTTCAGTTATCAGTCAGATGCAAACTCAGTTGCTTTGCTTCATAAATGAACCTTTCAATAATTATTCACTTCAAAGCTATTAAAACTGTAAGACCACAGATTATGTGGTAATACAGGCAGTAGTTTAGGTTTTTAAAAAATACAGCTCTATGGATATGCAAATTCATTGTTTTATTCAGATTTAAAGGCCCTTTGATACGGATACTTTTGTATTTTTATTTTAATCTCCTATTATATTTGAGAAGCATTTCTCTTTACATGAAAAAAATGTCTGTAAAGGAGGTGTCTGTACCAAAAATGCTTTGGTAGCTACTGAGTCCAGCTAAAAACCTGAAATAGCTGGGCTTACAACTGGCAGTGAAATTACATTGGTAAGCAGGATTATCCATGTATCTACTAATAATATAAAGTAAATGACGTCACACTCAGCTGAAATCTGTTTCCATCTGTGGAAAGTTTTTGTTTTTGTCTGCTCCATCCGTGCAGTGTGCTGATGCTCAGTGTGAAATACAAACCACACTTGGAAAAATGGCACTTGAGCTTTTATATTTGAAAAGCCATAGAATAATTGGGAACATCCTTAAAGTAGTTGTACAGTTTCTGTAGAAATATCAGAGGATGGATGTGCTTCTAATGTGTAGCAGTAGGTGTTGCTGACAGCTTTGAGCTCTTTGGAGGTGTGGATCCAAAGAGGAAAAGGAGTAGAACATGTGGGGCTTTTGTAGCCATCTGTGTGCCCAGGCTCCCTGCTGCTCCTCTTGTGGCTGTTTCTGCCTCAGTCGGCTGCAGTGATCTCTTCTGCCAGTGCCCTGATCCATCGTGCAGAGATGGAAGCTAAAAGGGAATTTGCTGGCCTTCAGCTACACTCACTGGTGACAAGTTGGCTCCTGGCCTGTAAAATTGCCTGGTGGGTTTAACTAAAGTCAGAGGAGTTGGCCTGTGTGAGGAAGACACTGGTGCCAGAGTTGGCAGCAGCATCATGCCACACTTTGTGTCAGCTCTGGCTGTAAGGAGATAAAAACTTCATGGTACTGGTTCCTATTATTACTGACTCATGTGCTGTGTTTTGTTTTAATCCCATCTACCCACTTCTAGTGAACAAATAGAAGTTTTGCTAACACTTCCATTTTACAGCAGTATTGAAAACACTACTGCATTATTATATATTGGTGTATAAATAATAAAATAATAACAATATAATAGAATAATATAATAATGATATATTGTGCTGTTTACCACTGCACCCTCTAGTTTTATAGTGATTTCCAGAAAAATTCTTTAAAAGAAAAAGTGGTTACTAAAATAGGTATTTTTTTAACTCCTGATTTGACTAGTATTGAATAACAGATCTTTCTAGATGGAAAAACTAGCTACCTTTATTGTGTTTTCTATGCTAGTGTTCTTATTTAACTTGAGGTCATTTTAGTTTTATGGTTGTCCTACTCTTTCTGTAATAAGCTTGCTGCTTAAGATCAGTTGTTTCTGAAGAAGTGTTCTTAAAATCCTGTTTTGTCCCAGTTCATGTTTATAGCAGTTCCAGAGTGATACATTCAGATGATAAATTGCTGTTTAAATGTAAAAATGTGTTGGTTTTTTTTTTTTTTCTTTACAGAAGTGATGCTACCTGACAGTAAAGTGAGTGGAAAAGTGTAGCTGAAAAATCTGTAAAGTGAAAGAGTCAAGCTGTTTCCCTTTCATATGCTTCATTGCAAGACACTTAAATGAGCAGGCCACTAATAGTTATTTAAATGACTTTGGAGTGCTGTTTTAGAATTAGGGAGAGATGCATAGATGGCCAGTAACTGGTGGAGTTATTATGCATGTCAAACAGTTGGTAGTGGTTGTGGTGTTCAGGAACCTCTTCTGTATCTTCTCTTTGAACAAATAATTTCCACCCTTATAAAGTCTATTTTATGGGTTAAAGGATGAATAAAGGCTTTTCTTATCTCTGATACTTAATAGTTACAATTTCAGCCAGAACAAGGGAAGGTGAGAGACATTAGAGCTGGTGTGTTACCACAGGGACAAAAATCAATTCAATTAATTCCCACTTTTCCTCCATTTCTAAGTGTTGCTATTGCAGACTTCTAGCAAAAGGAGGTGAAATGTTCTAAGTCAGTGTTGTCTCAAAATTCTTTTGGAAATAAACTTCTGATACTCTGATAAAAGCACATGATTGTGATTAACTACTGATAGGCTCAGAGGCTCTTCAAGTTTGATAGCACTGCCAGCACTATCTTTTGGTGTGGACAGGCTGCAGGACTAGTTTCACTTGTAAAAGAACCTGAACAACTGGTTTTACATTATCTACTAGAAACAGACTTACAACACAGTTTGTTGTCTTTAGGGCATCCACCCTTTTCTGTTCATGTTGTTCTAGTTTTGCCTATCATGAAACTTCCTCCAAGGAACATACAACACTGATTTTTTTATTTTTAATTTTTTTTATAATGCTAGAGAACAGGATTTTTTATATTAAGTTGGCTGGGTTATTCTAATGAATTGTCACTGTATTGTCACTGTTTTCACTGTTTTGTCATCTACTGTGTAACAGATCCTGAAGGCTCTTTCTGTTTTCCAATAGGCTGGTGTTTGGGATGCTGTACCCTGCATACTACTCATACAAAGCTGTGAAAACAAAAAATGTGAAGGAATATGTAAGTCTCGTTCCTTTTAATTGTTTAATGACACACCTCTGCTGATATAGATCTGTGACATTTTCATTGTGTAATAAATCTTGTGAAATCTTGAACTGTCTTACTGTTAAATACAGCACTTGTGTGAACCTATTGGTAATGCCCTGATTTTGTTTGGAGGGCTGAAGGTATCTCATACTTTACATAGTTTTATGCTGAAACATGTTCAACACACTATGCTGTATATAGATTTTTTTTAAAGAGTATTTTTAATGTAAACCTAAAAGGCTTGGTTTCTATTTCAGCAAGTACAAGAAATAATGCACTTTTAGGCAGGGGGTAGAATGAAAGTTTCCTAATTCTGCCAACACCTCAAGTATAAGTATTGACAAACTGATTCATAGTGACCACTGGAAGAGCAGCAGCAGCTTAATATCATTGTATGGAGCTCAATAGGGGACTCAGAATCTACCAGAAAAAGGTTAGTTCTTGTTAATCTATTTTTCCTAAAAGAGGAGAAAAAAATGTAACCAGGGAGGAAAAAAAACTTGGTTAGGTGGTGTGGAGAAAAGAAGCAGAACAGACAGAAGAGAAAGATGGAGAAAAACACAATTATAGTTACTTCAGTTTTTAATTAAGCTGTTAAATTATTTACTTGTCAGTGTGAGCAAGATGATAATCATGAGAATGTTAACCAGTTGCAGTCACAAGGAGCTTTAGTCACTGTGCTGCTTCCCTGTTTTAAGAGGCAGCCTGGCTTGATTTCAGCAAATAACCTGTCCTGAATCGTGGCCCTAACTTGGCTGCCCGACTCAGGGTGGGGTCAGGGCCATCAGTCACTCTGAACTTGGCAGTGTAGCTGTGACCTAGGGCTGTTGTCTGATGTGTGATGTCTCCACTTTGTACCTGGTTATAGTTGTAGGCTGTGGTAGCTGTTGTTCCTCCCCTTGAATGTCTTAATTTAGTCTGATCACCCTATCAAGGCCCCAAAGGACATCATATTTGTACTTCTGGTTTCTGTGTACAAGCTGATTGGAGCTTATTTGTGAGATAGAGCAGGTGCCTGCCAGAGTTAAACTCATGGGAGAAAAAAATCACCAAAATTAACAGGAGAATTTTCTCTGTCTCATGCTTGTATTACTCTGTCAGGAAAGTCTATAATGCAAGGAATTTATAATCTGCTTTACCTCCCTGCTCCTTCAAAACTGATCTAAGGCTAAGTAGGGCATAGCAGTTTCCAGCCAAAATAAAGGAAATCACTTCAAGAGGCTACCATTGCCTCTTGCACTATGTTTTCTAGAAAAAGAGAAGTAATATTTTAGAATGCTGAGATATATTTTTCACCTCAGTTGTCCTGTTAGCTATGACCTGTCTTTCTTGGGCATCCTTACAGAGGACCCCTGCTAGTATGGCTGGAATTGTATTTTTGCAGCTCTTTTAGTGTGAACCTGTGGTCTTTGAACAGTCCCAGAACTTGCAGTCACATACAAAATATTCATGGAGCAAGATGAGTAAGAGCCATCTCAGTGACTTTTTCATTAGCAGGGCATGACAATGATTCATCAGTGAGTTATCACTCCATTGCTGGTTGGGTTGACTGTCCAGATTAGGTCTTAGGGATGATCCATGGCTGTCATTTTCCCAGCTGGGTCATTTTCTTTCACAGGAAAAGGTTTAGATTTAAGTGCAGCTTTTCCTTTAAAGGCACAGGTCTGCTGTCACTCACATTATGGCCCAAGCACAACTTCCTTTCCAGGCTTTTGTGTGGCTCAGGAGCCATCTGTGTTGCTGAATCGATAAGAGCTTTGTAACAGTAAAATATCTTACTCAGCCACTACTTCCACCACTACAAACAAACCAAACAAAAAGAACTGACACTTGACTTCTTGTGTAGGTCATGATGCAGCAAATTGGTCAGAGATCATTTCTGGGGGAAAAAGTGTAGGGCTGACCATGGTAATTTAAAAGACTTACAGAATTCAGTGCTAAAAATTAGAATCTGTGCCTTTGAGGAAATTTGTTTGTTCTTGTAATTACCCTGGTTTAATGGTGTTTACTAAGATATTTGAGATGGTTTTTTTCACTGTATTGCACCAAAGTACTTGAAATAAGCATCTGAAATGTAGTTTATAAGTCTGAACAGACCAGCCTTTTTAAATCCTGGCTTCAAAATCCTGACCTGAAAGAATGTGCTTCAGACAGAGCCAACAAAGATGAGCTTAACACTTGGATGTTAGGAAGAAAACCCTTCAATGAAACAAATGTGTAATCACTCTTTTAATGTGAAAAATAAAACTCAGTTGAAGCTTCTGTTACTTGAAGTAGATGACAGTGTTCTGGGTAGTGTGAAATCTGACCTTCAATTTTTCATGTCCTTTTTTTCTTTTTTCCTGGTATGAAAACCCCTCTAAGTCACTCAGGTTCATTTGTCAAGGATACTAGTGGTATCCTGGTGCCTAGTGCTGTGGTGCCTAGTGCATTGGTTGTACTAGAACGTGATTTGTGTTTTATAGAATCTCTGCCCAGTCCTCAGCAGGACTCCTGGCACATCTCATGTGCTCTTCTGCAGGGCTTTTTTTATTGTTCTAGCAGCCCAGGAGAAATTCCACTTCCACTGTTGTTCTTGATTGGGTAAATAGGTGTTGATTAAAGAAAGAACAGCCTGGATAAATAATTTTGGTGACAAATACAGTCTTGCATGGCATCTTAAAAATTGTGTTGCATTATGCTTAAGTTGATGGGGCAAGGTTGGATTTAATTTTGTTTTCATTCAGGTGTTGACTCAGGTTCATGGAAGGGTCACCAGTCTAAATGTCACATGGCCTGTCAGCAGTGACTTCAGCTGTTGTGTACATTTGTCTTCGTTTATTCAAGCCTAAAATATCTAAATCCTCTCAGAGACTGAAGTGAAGAATGTTATCACATGACTGAGTTTCTTTTCAAACTGAAACACAGAAAAGCATTTAAGATAAATGGGTCTCAGGTTCTGACAGAGGAAGTGGTTTTAAACTGTAATGCACATCCATGAAACAGGCAGCAGTGTATCATTAGGTTTTGAGTAGTTATTTAAATCCACTTCAAAAAAGATTGTTTTAAAAGTGAAGATTAAATCTGAGCCACATCCTCTGTGGGAAGGTGTGTGTGTATATATATCCTCCCTTCGAAAGAGAGTACCATGAATTTAGGGCTCAAACTAGTTTCTAACAATTGTGGTGGGTTTGTTTTATTCTTTGCTGGTTTGGTTTTTTAGGTTTTTGTTTGTTTGTTTTTAAATGGTTTTGTGGTGCAGGTTTTTTGTCCTAGGAAGTTAAAGGACACGTGGAAGTTCAGTTTGTATAAATAACCAGTGGTGGTTTGCAGTGACCCATTTTGGAAATACATTGCATGTGGCATCTGATAGCTTAGGGAAGACAAATGCATGGGAACTATTTCTGTAGTATTTATTTTGAAAGAAGTAATCAGCTTAGACAACCAAATTTGAACTAATGCTCAAGAAAAATGAGTGAGTCTCTTAACTGTTATAAAACAAAGTACTGTTGAATGTCTTGCTTTGACAACTCTGAACAAACTGTACAGTGTATAGTATTTTATGTGTAAAGGTGAAATCAAAGCTCTTAGTGAAGCTGGTATTTTAATTTCCAGGTTCGCTGGATGATGTACTGGATTGTGTTTGCTCTTTATACAGTGACTGAAACAATAACTGACCTAACAGTCTCTTGGTAAGACCCTGCTTTTTATGAACTCCAGAGGAAATGATGTTTGTTCTGATGCTTTTTGATTTGTCCTGATTTATTTTGTGTAAAGAAGTTGTGCTTGTTGAATAACCCTTATTACAGGAAAAGGTCTTGGTAAATAGATGAACAGCATCTGTTTCAAGTTTGCTGTACACTGTCACTTGAATTAGGAACTATAACATTTCTAGCTTCACTGTAGAAACTGAATGGGGGAATGGAATCTTAAAAGGATGGCCTAGAATTTCTCTGTGAAGGAATGTAGAATGAAAAGCAAGTATATTAACTGTTGTCATTTCTTAAATGACAGTAGTCCATAAATCCATAACTCATTTAATTTTTGTCTAGTGTAGCTTCTTGTTTATGAAGAATCCTATATGCTAATATAATTGTGGTTTTTTAAACGATCTCTTCATAATGATTCATTACTGTGCATTTTCTTACTGCAGTTGTTGATTTTGTGCAACCTTTAACTTGTCTGTAGGTTTCCACTGTACTATGAGCTGAAGATAGCTTTTGTTATCTGGCTCCTTTCCCCATATACTAGAGGGGCAAGTTTAATCTACAGAAAATTCCTCCACCCACTGCTTTCTTCTAAAGAAAGGGTAAGAAATTGCTTCTCAGATTTTTAATGCCTAATATGGAAACACCATATGCTGAAATAAAAGCTGTTGCTAGATACACTACAAAAGCAGAGCAGCTTGTTACTGTCTTGCCTGGCAGCATGAATTTGGGCTAGCAGAGGCAAGTGCACATGGCTGTCCGTGTCTGTGCCCTGTTTAGCTTTGCTGAGCTGTCAAGGTCCTGCTTCCCATTGCCGTGAGAGCTTGGTGTTCCCTGCTCTACTTGATGCTCTCTGAGGAGCCAGTGGAGTGCAAGTGATGCAGTTTGACTTTGTGCTGCAAGCAGGTGTACAGTGCTCTCTGCACAGAAGCATGAACACAGCTTTACTGAAAGCTGTTAATGTTACCACTTTTTTCTAGCATAAACTAGTAATAGCACTTCTCAGGATGATTGACATCGATGACTTTTTTTGGTTTCCAAACTGACAAGACAAGAGGAGAGGCTTGTTACTGAGTTTTAAGGGTAGACCAGTCTGCAACAGTAAATACCCAAAGATAAAATAGCTAGAAGATGGTGAGCTTTAGTCGAAGTATGACAGGGACACAGCTCTGCTTTAGCTCTTTTTCAGCATCCTGTTTGGATGTGTGGAAAGAGCAATTAGCAAAGGTGTGAAGACAAGCACTGAGAAACCTCACTCTACAGAAAATAGCATTTCTAAAGGTCAGTTCATAAGGCTAGACTTGGCCTTTATTAGGCAAAGCAAGTTGCTGACAAGATTGCCAGTGATAGGAACAGTAAGGTCATCTTGACCTTCTGAAAGTTGTGCTAGATACAATTTGCAACTTTGTAAGGTGAGGAGATATTTTCCTGTTGGGAAGAACCTTGCAGACTTTTATCTTCAACTCCAGGCATTTACCAGAGCTGGAGATAAATGTCATGACTGTATTGTCCTTGGTACTTAACTGTTTCAAAGCTGTGGCTTTGGAAGTTCTTTGTAAGTCGGCTCTGCCTTTCCAGGGAGCTCCTGACTTCATGTTAGATGATGTTATTTCTTGAAAAGCTGTCTAACAAGTTAAGCTTACTCTCCATAAGGAACTTGTTGCAGTGTTTCTGAGCTGTGCAAAAGTGATCTACTTTACCTTCTTGTTTGACCACATATAATTTTTTTAAATGAGAGAATTGTAACGAACAAAACATCTGAATACGAAGATATATCCCATTAAATATTTTCTTAAATATTCTGTCTTCCTTTACTGATGGAAAAATAATACTGTGGAGTAATTTTGCTGTCTTATGAACAGCCTTCTGAAGTTTAAATGTTTTTCTTTTAGGAGATTGATGAGTACATAGTCCAAGCCAAAGAAAGAGGCTATGAGACCATGGTGAATTTTGGAAGGCAAGGGTTGAATTTGGCAGCAACTGCTGCAGTGACAGCAGCTGTAAAGGTAGGTTTCTGCTTGCATTCATTGGTTTTGAGTTTGATATAGAACAGTGTAATTGTACTGAGGGTTTACCATTCTTATATATAAAAAAAAAGATAAATACTGCAAGTGTGCTGAAAACCTGGGACACAAAGGCTTGCAGCCCTCTCCTGCTCATACTGTGTTTGTTGGTTTGTTTGTTTAAGATGGCTTGTAGTTATTTCTTGGATGATCAGATCAGTTTACTCTAATTCAAAAGGTACCATTCAGTTTTCTGTGCAGGCTTTTAATGAAGATGACCACTGTTTCTTTTCTGTCTCTGTTGTGCTTTCTTGTTGATAAACAAACTTTTTAAAGGATTTCTGGCTTTTCTGCTGTTTTTCTCCAATCAACCTGAGGTAATGCCACATACGAAAGGCATGAAAGACTTCTACCATGGTTAAAAATTCTCTTGACACAATTAACCTGTTTGCAACTTGTTGGGTGAATTATTAAATTAATATACTAAGCATAAGCCTGCCTATTGATGTTTAGCAAACACTTGCTTTGTCATGTGTTTTCCATTAAATTATGGAGTAATCTGTTGTTTTTCCCAGATTACCTTCCTGCAAAAACTTGTCACCCTCAGTATTTCAGAGAGCTCTGGGTGTAGGAACACAAAATACAAGCTTATATGTCAGATTGTAAGCAATTTGTGCACTGAAAGGAGTATACTTTAGACAATGTGTATCCTACCTAATAGTAATTTAAACCAACCAAAAAAAAGGCACAACAAAAAAAACAAAACCAAAAAAACCAAAACAACAAAAGAAAACCACCAAAAAAACCCAAAATCACACACAAAAAAAAAAAGTTCATGTCCAAGTGAAATCACAGGTTTGAGGCAATCAGGATTAATTTCTTCCTGGGAATAAATGGAACCATTGTGCTCATAGTAACAGGACTGAAAACCTGAACACTGTCAGTAGATAACAGAAAACAATGTAGAGATCCCTGGCTGTCAAAGTTGAGTATGTACAGCTGGCATTTAGCTGAAGTGTCTGGGCTTCTTTGTGAACTTCCTGCATTATAAATAAAAGACATTCCTAAAAACTGCATTTTCACATGCTACCTCAAAATCTTTGGAAAAGTAGTCATGCATATCTTGTTTGTTCATTTTCTCTCTTTTTAAAGATACGTGTGGGTGGTAGCATTACAACTTTTTGTTTTTAAATATGGTCATAATAAGCCTAAAATACTGAGAAAGTGATTAAATTTGATCACTGTAGGGGGTTTTGTTATTCAAATTCTTAATATTGCCTTGAGACATGAAATAATTTAGAATGCAGTAGAGTGTACCTGCAAAGGAATGAAAGTATCCAGAGTGAAAATAGGTTATTTAAATAAACCAAATAAACCCAACAAACACACACCCAAAATGCTCTACTGGGAGAAAAAAGTTTACTTGCTAAATGCTAAAATGCAAATTCTTTGTATTACAAATTTATTACAATAAGCACCTGTAAGGATTCTTATGCTTTTTGTGTGCTCCTTATGTTTGGCTGTGGTTGGATATTTCCTTGTTAATTTTTAGGGTATAACAGAAATATTGTAAAAGAAGTAATACCAGTATCTCCTCCCACTTTCTTCTGAAATAATGAATAACTTTTTCTGAAATGTCTGTGTTTAGATTTCATTGCTATTCAGCTGTGACTGGCAAGATGCCTGCTCCATTTGTTCAAACTTGTTAAACATGCTCATGAATATTTGTACAGAATTAGTTCAGTGCAGATCAGATGCTCGGGAAAAACAACCACCACAATACCATAGACCTAAAATAGGCATGATTTTTAAACAGTATGAAAGAGGAGACTCACTGAAAAAAATCTTTATTTTGGCACGTTAAGCCTCTTGGGTTTGTCATTCCAGAATGCTGAGCGTGCCTGCTCCGTGCAGGCAAATGGACACAATGCATGTGTTCTTGATTTTGTTCCCTGTTCTTCAAGAGTTGACTGCTGCCTCCAGCAGGTGAAAGATTATCCCTTCACCAGGAGCTGGTGGAGCATGCTAGAGGATTTCAGGACCAGAATTGTAGTAGTGGCATCAGTCTTGATGGGAAAGAGGGCACACTTTCATCACTATTTTTTTTACCCTTTTTTTAAATAGAGCACACATGCTTATTCTGACATAGCAGATCTCAAATTAGGACAGGGGGAGAGGCTAAACGTGTGCAGGGTTAAACCCATGTCAAAAGACACTAAAGTGTCCAAGAAAACTGCTTATGCTGACGTTAGGAGGGTGTTAAAAGTGGCTTGGAAACTTGCTGAAATGTTTTGAATATCAAATGTGGGAGAGAGTGAATTTCTGCAAGGCTTGTCAAAGGAACAGGGGATTACCATTAAAAGGCTTGTTGGCTCTGTTAGGGAGGTTGGAGCAGCCAGCCAGGTCAGTCTACTGAAATTTGACATAGATTTAAACCTGCTCCCCTATAGTTAAATTTAAATGTATTTGGCAGGAGTAGTGGCTTATAGCTTACATTCTCATACTGATATTTTTAGCTGGTAGTAGTTAGCCACTGTTCATATAAAATGTAGTGTTTGCAAAACCTGCTAAATAGAATCAGCAAAATAAATTAGTGAGACAAATTGTCTTAAATTAGCATGTCAGAAAACATATTTGTAAAATCCTGGTTTTGGGAGATTTAGAGATGAAAGATAGTCTGTGTTAATTTTTTCTTTATACTGAAGGAAATTATTAGTACAAGAATCAGAAGCAAGATGCCTCAATAGTTCAGTGGTTTATGGATTTGGGGAAGTTATATCCACAACACTTAAGTTCCAATGATATATCTCATACTAGGATGGATCTTCTTTTCAGGTCTTCTGAGATGATGGTTACCTCTGTTTCAATTTCTGCTAATCCATGAATTCAGATTTCTTGAGCTACTAGTGAAAACCGGTGTCTTTATCACTATGAGCACAGAGACTGCTGCTTAAGCTGTGAAATACTCTGTCCCTCTTTATGAGGTCACACAAATAGTGTTAATTTGTAAAGTGGTGTTGGTGGTGATAATATATTTTGAGGGCTGTGTTTTCTGAATGCCTTCTAGTCATCCTGAATCTTTTTGCTGATTGAGAATTATTCTCCTGGTCTTGCTCACCCTTCCCCTTGTGCCCACTCCAGGCATGGCAGAGGAAGGAGCTCTCTTGCAGCCAGCTGTGGCACACAGCCAGCATCACCCTGGGGAGCAGCACTGCTTTCATCCTCCTCCCTGCTGGGGCTGCCTGCCATGCTGCAGAGGTCATTCACGGGACAGCAGTCCCTGTCCGGGCTGAGAGGGAGCAGAAGTCATTCCCTGTCAGCTTGGATCGGATCAGGGAGAGAACAGCTGAGAATGAGGGTGCTGCATGCTGCCCAGTCCATTGGGAACTTGTCCAGGGAAGGCAGGCAGCTCCAGTCAGTGATCCTGGCCACTGAGGGGTGCAAGTCCCATTGAAGAGCAGGGACTCCCTGAGGCACACAATGTGGGGTTTGTTTACAGCAGCTTCCCTGGGTTAAGTGTACAGACCCTAAAAGCACATGCTCAATAACAGAGTAGAAAATGGCATTTCATATACAAGGGTCAGCTGATGAGACTCCTTACTAATAGCTTACTAGAGGCTGAGTAGTCTTGAAAGGAGACCCTTAAATTGGCTATATTTATTTTAAAGAATTTATTTTGAAACATATTATGACTTTATTTGGTGTTTCACATTGGTCACTGCTAATGAATGCAGACTCCAAAAAATGTTTAGTTTGTTTTAGGAAATGCTGTTGAATAATGAAGAAAAAAAAAATAATTCTTTAAGACTTATATTTTGTTTAAGACAACACACAGACTTCACAGTTCTTATCTCAGTGTTTGCCTACATGGAAATTTTAGTGCTGATGTGATATATTTTCTTTTTCCCTGGCATTGTAATTGTAAATGTGTGTGTGTCAGTCTTTTGGGCTGTAATTTAGTTCTCAGCCTCTGGGCTGAGTGCAGCCTGATGTATTCCTTCCTTACTGGCAGGGGCTGTTGATGTCATGGGCCACCAGTGGTAACTGCTGTGCCATCTTGTCCTGGCAGCACCTTGGGGTGTGTGTCTGGGAGAGGTGATGGCTGCTGCCACGTCCATGGCATGGAGTGGAAGCAGGAGATCCTCTTCAGCTCCACCTACAACTGAATTGCTCTGCTTTTAGGGCAAACATGTTGCTTTCAAGCTGTAACTCTTTGACCTTTCAAACAACATATTAAAGCTCTTAAAGCATTATTATTCTGAATGTGAATGTTACTCTCACATTTCCTGCTGTAAAGGGTATTTAATCTCACATTTCCTGCAGTAGGAAGGAATTTAATATTTTTCAGCCAGACTTTCATCCTGAGCTGATAGTAATCCAGATCTACACAGAATGCTTTGTTTCAGCAAAAAGCAATTAACTGCTGCTTTTGGGCATGGGGGTGGAAGAATCTTCTTAAGTCTTAAATGCAGTGTGAGCACAGTGCTATGCAGACTCCCACAGAACACCTTGAAATTTGTCCTTCAGTCTATGCAGTGGACTTAAAGTAGAAATCAATCTTGATTTGGCTAGACTGGGTGTTCCCAGGGGTGGGATAGGGACTGGGGGCCCTGAAGGGAATAACTGCATAGGATTAGTGTAGTGTGTGATGGGGACTGGGCAGCACAGCAGTGGTTGTGCAGCTCCCATTCCTACTGTGACTCTCAGGCATGTGTGCTGCATCTTTATTTGTGTATATATCCTTTCAAACTTCTCAATGTTTTCTGTGTGTAACTTGAGTAAAACTTTCCATCTTGGCAAGTAGTTTTGGAATGAAGGGCCCATTGTATAAATCCCTTACGTCCTCCCTGAATGAGGCAGTGCTCCACAGGAGCTCCAGCTCAAGCGTGCAGTTTGGTTAAGGGCACAATGTTATTTTATGGCACATACTTGACTTTTTTTCCTCCTTTGAAAAACAAAATTTTCTATCCAAAAGCTGCACTGGAAAATAGGGTTGAATGTTGCTAGCTTGGATTTAGTCCTCTATCTACAGTGGAATGAGAAATATAGGCTTGTAATGTGAATTCTTACCATTGTTAGTTTTTATAATCTTGCATTATTCTATGCAATTTCCAAATGTCTTTTTGTAGTATATCACATGATGAATAAACTTGCTGGGCAGCTGTTAAACAAGTGTGTCTTTCTATACTTCTGCTGCTGCCAAAACCAGCTTCTGACACTATTTTAAGTAGACTCTGTTCACTCTTGGTGAGTGGAACTGTGCTGAATTTGTATGGATTCTGCTGAGAACCAGCCAGGTCCATTTCACATACTCACCAGTGTTCAGTGACTGATACTGGAGTCCTGTTCAAGCTCTTTAAGCATTGGACACAGACTGATGAACAGTCTTGTATGTTATGGCAGAGTAATGTATTTACTGCAAGCTGTTACTTGTCAAAAGAAGCAGTTCTTTCTCCAGTGCTCTTCTCCATGTCCTAGCAGCTGATAAAGTTCTCAGGCATAGCTGGTTCCTGATGTAGTTTGCTTGAAATGCTTTTCAGTGCAAGAAGTGGAATAGTGGAAGGGCAGGATTTTTCCTGCCTTAGGAGAGACTTTAGGAGACCTGCCTCAAATGAGCCATTTTGGGGAATAAATTTGACTTGGGGATTTTTACAATCTTTAATGCAGATACTGTGCAGTGTTCATAGTGCATTTTAACTCAAAGGCAAGCTGTACTTCAGTTTTTGAGAACTGAGTCATCCTACAAGTATGTAGGAAGAGGTAGAATACGTTAAGGCTTCTACTTCTCCCACAAAAAACCTTTTCTTTGTTGTTTGGTGACAGTCTATGAGTGGTGGGGTAAGAATTATAATACATTTGTCGTGCTTCAGTAGCACACTGTCCACTGTCTTAATTTTATATGCTGTACTAATGACTAGTCATTAGAAAATTAATATTAGGTTTCAGCCACTTTTCTCCCTGCCCTTTGGTACCCACACAAACTTAAGGAGCTTAATTCAACTGTCTCTTCACTTTACATGGCTATTTTTAACACGGACTAATTCGGTGCTGGTCTACCAATTGCAAAAACAGTTGTTGTCGTGAGACTGGGAACAAATGGCTGTGGCTAGCAGTGCCAGAATTGCCTTCTGCTGGTGCTGTTGCAGAGGAAGGTGTATGGAATTGTACCCAGGTTTCTGCTCCTGCTAGCTAACATGCTGGTCAAATGAAGAATTTTACTTAAAAGCTTCATTTGTAAGAATGAAACAAAGTTTTTAACACTTGCTTGAAGTGGAATTCATGCATGGGCTTGTCAGCCTTTCTCTGAAATGGTTATTTTTTGCCTTGTGCCAGAGATGGAAGAATTGAATGTTATTTTAACATGACTTTGCGTATGTGTTCTCATGGTCTTATTCTTTTAGTTGCTTATGCAATAAATTAATCTTTAATGCTTTAATAATAACATCATCTGATGTAAGATGAAAGAGCTGCTGGATGACCTTTCTTTCCAACAGGGAAATTTCCATATGTTCCATATGGAAAAAAAGTGAAGACAATTGGAGCAGGAATACTTGTTCATATGTGATTAACTGTTCTCCTGTGCAGCATTAGATTTTGGGTTGGTATTGTGGCAGTAAATCTATATTAGTAAGAGGACCTGCTAGCCTGGAGTCCAGGCAGGACCTCTTTGGTTTGTGGTTTCAAGTTTCTGTCAACTGGAGCTGCTTTTATAGTGCTGCCAGTTTCTCAGTTATTTGAGTTAATGTTACAGAGTGTATTTTTAACACTTTTCTTCTTAATCTTATTCAAATTTTTGGAGGATAAAATATAAAGTAGCAGAAAACTAACTTCAACCATACTCTTTCAAGTGGAAGTGTTACTGTCGTGCTACCTTGAACTGCCATGTTTGAAGTGAACATTTCTGATGTGTGTTTCTTTTAAACACTTACCCTCAGTCTTTATTTGCTCAGATTAAAGGAGTAAAATGCAGCATTTGTAATTAAGCTGCCAGCTTGTGTAACTTTGTCATCTGGGAGTAGCGCACAGTTAAGCGTGGGTAAAGCAATACCTAAATCAAATGTAAAGCAACTGCATGTGTATGTTCAGTGGGTTTTGTTGTGCAACAAGGAAGCATGGGCTTAAACATCTTAACCCAAGCTGAGCAGCAAAGTTAAACCTCTGCCTGGTTTCCAAAGATACTGTTGTTGTATTTCAGAGCCAAGGTGCAATAACTGAGAAACTGAGAAGTTTCAGTATGCATGATTTGACTACTATACAAGGAGATGAGCCTGTTGGACAGAGACCTTATCAGACATTGCCAGAAGCTAAAAAGAAAACCAGAGCCTCTACAAGTGAATCTTCAAGTAAGTATCTTTTTTTCTTCCCTACCTAAAAGAACAATTCACCCAAAGCAAAAGTGGAAGAGCAGAAATACATTCACCCCATTTCTAAATTGATAGGGCCTCAAAGAATTCCAGTACACTCAAGTGAAGTAAATTATGACAGTTAAGAAATCCTTCCTGAATTACTTTCTTCTCACAGCCATTCTCAGTGTAATCATACTGTGTTCATCACTCCTGTCATTGCCAATTGGCAGCAAGAATTTATTATCAAAGTAAAACTTAATTGGAAGTCAAATGTTATGTGATTAAGTGGAGTTTGTGTAACAAATGTACAAGAAGTTAAATGTGAAAACATATGGAAGCTCGGTAAATAGAAGAGAAAATTAACAGAAATTAATTGACCAGGTTTGTAGTAATAGATCAAAATGTAAAATTGTACATGGTGATAGGAATAATAAAGGCATCAAGTTTTCATAATGGACTGGTGCCAGTCAGCACTTAGAAGATGGTGTGTGGTGACCAATATATGGTTTTGTTCAGAGACACTATTATTTCATTATTATATTACATGTTCTGTTATTGTCATCATCACTTTGCTCTTGAGCTTGTGATGCTTGAAGGAAGGTTTTGCTGGAAGTCTGGTAACTACACCTTTTTAAATGGCAAGGCTATGATGTAAAGGAGCTGATGTTTCCCACAAAAGAAGTAGATCTGGGCTATTTATCTTCACCTAAGCCTGTCATTCCTTCCTATCCCTCCATTTTGGGGAGGAGTAGTGTTTGTGTGGTCCAAGGAATTCCATGGATAGTGTGGTAGCCCATGATGTTTGTGAGGAATAGATGGCCAGCTGAAGGGACCTAGCTGAATTGCACATTGTTTCAGAGGGTATCCTGTGCAGGGCAGTGTGAGCTGGAGCTTCTGGCAGGAGAGAAAGCCAAGAATTCATGGAGAGCTGCACTGGAGATGATGTCACTGCAGCTGTTGTGCAGGGTCTGTTCCTCAGTGAGAGAGCATTACTTACCTATCTGAAAAGCTTGAAAATGCTCTAATTTTTTTTAATGCTTCAGTTTATACTGGATAAATAATCACTGATTGTCAGATTCAATCTCAAATGTCAGAAAGCTTTCTTACAGCTAGTTGAATTTAATTAATTGTTTCTGCTCCAGGTCTGATATCCAGCATACACCTCTCATGTTTTCTTTGAATTTCTGCAGCATTAGGAACTTAAAGATCAAAAGTACACATAGATTTAGGAACACTGTGTAGCAATATTCTGCTGTGCTTAGCAGGATCTTATTTTTTGTGGTCTGAGCTGGGAGTTCTGTGCAAATTGGTTGAAAAGGCCTAGTTGTAGGACATGGATCATAGGATGGTGCTGAGCTGGCAGGGAAAAAGGGAGTGCTGTGAAAAAGGTGGATGGGATGCTGATGCATCACGTGTTACAAACGAAGATAAGGAAGTGTTGGTGTCCCTAAAAACCCTGCTAGTCTGAAACAGAGAGACAGATGTGATAGAAATATTTTCTGTTGAAAAAGGTAAATTGAAACTACTGGAAGCAGAGATGTGTTGCCTCTAAAATGGCAGAAGAGAATGACAGAATGTCTGCCTCAACCAACAGTGCAATAGATTATGTGATTCTAATTTCTAGGAAAAAAAATGAGGAAAAAAAATAGCTAAGCCTAAATAAAATATTGGCTTAAGATGAAATGTACTCAGGTCATTAATAAAGTTTAGTTTGGAGTCTAAAAGGTGTTGCTGAGTGTTACAGCCTGTAGATTCTGGGATAAAAGGAGAGTTTTGTTGAGTAAGGAACCAGAGTGTATTTGAGAGCTTTGTGATAGGTCTGTGATGGGGATTCGGGGCTGTTGGACCCCAAGGAGCTTTTCAGGGTTTGTTTTTGAGCAGTTTGTGCCCTCTAGTGAGAGTCTTAGGTAATAATCTTGGTCCTGGTTTTGCAGTATGTTAACAACCCTTAAGGGTACTTGGGTGTGTTACCGATCTGAAAGGAGCTTTGGTAATAAAATTGCAGGAGGAGGAGAGTATGAAGGATCCTATCAATGAGAGTCATGAAATGGTTTGTATAGGAAGGGATCTGTAAAGGTTTATCTAAATGTAACCTTCCTCTCATGTGGATTGTGTTCAAAAATCTTGAGTACTTCTTAAGATGACCACTAAGGTTTTTGCAGTTTAGTGTAAAGCAGAAGATGTCAGCAGACTTGTGGTTTCAGTTTTGACAACTGGAGAATCACTGCATTTCATACCTGTGGAACCAAGGGGCTGCATTAGAAATACCAAACTCGTGGCAGAGTCAATGTTTCTGTTTTGAAATGAGCACATAATTTAAAAGGATAAATCACCTGTGGTAAAGATGAAAATCACAGCTTTCTTAGGAATCAAAAGTTAAAGCTACTTTTTTTTAATAATTTTTTTTAAAGGTTACAAAACTCCACTGGAAAAAAATCCTGGAGATGATAAAACAGATGAAGAGATGGAGGGGACATATTCAGAGGATGAAGTGTTTGCTCAGAGAGGCCTTCGAAGAACTCAGAGTATGAAATCTGTGAAAACCATTAAAGGCCGCAAAGAGGCAAGTATGATCCCTGTTAATTGAGTTTGTTTGTTCAGTGTATATTGGCATTTTTCATAGTGCAGAAATGGATTTTTATTTTTGATCTTGGAGAAGTTGTCAACAATAACTGCGTTCTGGAATGCTAAATGGGGAAGGAAGTGTGTGATAACAATATCTAGGTTCAGAGCTTTTGTAGTTTGGAGGGTTTAGAGGAAATACATGAATGAAATAAACTAAGCAAGGAGCAAGGGAGAGGAGATGAAACAGACTCTGTGCTTGCAATGCTAATTCTGACACCACCGAGCCCTCTTTCAGGAGCTCTCACCTTGGAAGGGTTGTGGATAGCAATATTATCATTTGCATGTTGTGTGCACTTAACCATCTCCTGTTTAATAGATAAAGAATATTCAGAATTTTTAAATTCCCATAGACACACGGCCTGACTCTTTGTGATCTACAAAGAGAAGATCCTAGTTAGTGTTCAATGCACTTTATTTGTGCATGCGTCACAAAATTTAAAGATACTTCAGGATAAATCTCTGTGGAGTCTTATAGAAGCTTCTGGGTCATTGCAGGAAGACAGATGATACTTATTCTTCTTGCCCAATTCTGTTGAAACTTTGTTATTTAGAGGCAGATTATTTTAGTGAAACTGGGGTGTCCAAAACACATTGAAAGACATTTACAAAATAAGATTAGTGGGCAGATGAATCATATTTCTACTTGGTGTGACTCAAATCTTTGTTATAATTTTCTTTTTCCCCTCAGATACGATATGGATCACTGAAATACAGAGTAAAGAAGAGACCTGCTGTATACTTTTAAGTGTACTGCACAATGCCTGCAAGAGAAACTGCTGTACTATAATAACTTGAATTCAAGTTTTAAAGATCTGTGTACAATTCCTAAAATGAGTCTGTATGAACAGATATGGTAGGACTTGTTTTTGTGAACCCAAGCGATCAGATAAAGTATTACTCTGTTTTTCTATAATTGTTTAGATTTAAATCTGGACAAGTTACAGCATGAATTTCAGCACTCCTTAAATAGGAGTTAAATGAGGAATAGGAAATACTCTTTTGCCAGAGGTATTGAACAGACTGAAATAATTACAACTCCAATTGAATTAGCAGAAGATTTAAGTATCTAGAGCTTGTGAGAATTGAACCATAGTGTCCCCAAGTTTACATTGAAAGATAGATATACTTGAAATATTTTTCTGAACTACAATTCCTGAACAGGCCTTTGTGTAATTTTTAAATGTACAGTTTAAAGGACAGTGGATGATGGTGGGAAAGAAAAAGGAAAGGTGAGGTAGGTTGGATACATCCTTAACATCATCATCTTGCATCATATTGCCAAGCTTTGCAAACTGGGGGTACATATAGCACTTTATGCAAAACTGTATAGTTTTGCACACTCTTAATGATTTACAACTGCACATGTCATTTTAGTGACTTGCTAGATAGGTTAGAGTTACATTTTGAATGCCAGCAATTCTTGTATTTTATGATCTTTTTAAAATTTATCCTGATTCCTTAAGTACACTTAGGATGCTGTAGATATTTGCTACTAACAATATTATCAGGTGCCTTTCTATGTGTTATAGGGCTGTGTGGGTTTTGTCTGTGTGTGTGGTTTTTTTGGGGGGGTTTTGAGGGTTTTTTTGTTTGTGGGGTTGTTTTGTTTGTGTCTGTCTTACTCCATCTAAAGAGATGTAACATGATTTAAGTCAGTTTTTGGTTAAAATTGTGGTAAGTAAAACTTGTAGCAATTCCAGTGATACGCCTCAGGGATCTGATCAGCCCATGAGCTGTGTGTTAAAGTCATGCTGCCATAAAGGTATGTATGATAGCTTAGTCAGGCCCTGGTTTAGTTTTGCTCTACATTGCTTTAAGAACAAATATATTTATATATATGTGTACTTCAGAACATGTATGAGTGTATATTTCATACCATATGTGGATTCTAAAATGGCCTGTGTAGTACTTTCTTTTATTGCTGAGGTTATTACTAAAATATTTGCATATAAATAGCTTCTTCTAAAAGTCTAGTTGATTTAGTCATTTTATAACCTAGAGTCCCATGGCATATCTGCACAGAGATTAATTTTGCAATGTCTTTCAATGCAGTGACTTGTTAAAATTACTTTTTTAGGTCACCTTTGGTACTATTTTCTGCAGTTCTGAGAATTAGGCTGATTTTAGTTTGCTGTGTGACTGTATTTCTACTGTGGATTCAGGGAGAAACCACCCACTTTTTTGCAGATAGTATTTTATTATGCATCTTTGGGACAGTCCTTGCTACTTCCCTCAAAGAGGAAATGGCATGGATTCCTTATCCTTGGATCTCTGACTTCCCCAACTATTGACAGTAATCTGTATGTCTACAGCATGATCTCTGACTTCAGTCCTTAGGCCTTTCCCCAGCTATTGACAGTAATCTGTATGTCTACAGCAGAGATTTTAAATATATTCCTGAGGCTTGGGCCTGCTGCAGTTCTTTTTCTGTTACAGCCATAGCAGTTCACTGCTGGTAGGCACTTGGTGGTCTGCAGCATAGACTGGCATTCAGAGTAATCCTCTGCACACTTCAGCCAGGGTTTGAATTCTGTGGGTGCACATGCAGCTGGTCTGTGTTGGTGTTGTTCCTCCCTGCCTGTGGGAAGTGTCTGCAAGCCCTGTGCACTTTGCACTTCAACAAAACAGCACTTCAGCATCTCTGAGGAACCTCGGTGCTTTAGTGAGAAGTCCCAGCAGGCCACGTGTGATTAAAAGGCTAAAACCTGTTTTACTTCACTCAGAAACACAGTTGGATACCAGAAGACAGGAAGGCTGCTCTCTCCCAGATGAGTACAGTGTAAAAATCCCATCTCCTAACCAAAACTGTACCTTGTTATCCAGCTTTTCTAAGGAGCTGTGGGCAAGGAGTGATCACAAAAGCAACCTTCCCCGGAGTGTGGGACTTCTGCTCCAGGAATGTCGGTGCTTCTCCTCTGTTTCCCTGAGGCTTGTCTGTGTGTTTTGACACTATATACTAATGTATAAGACACTAAGGAGCCCTAAGCTCTTGTATTTGCATCTCACCCCTCTCTGAATAGTAGACTGACCTGGGCCTGGGATGGAATCTCTAACTCTTACTGTACAGTTGAGCACTTACTGACACATTTTGCTGTAACTAATCATGCTTGTTTTACCAGCGAGCATGGCAAAAAAAGGATCATCTTTGTACAAATCATAATCCTGCATGAAGGAGTAGAGGAAGCCATTTTTTCAGAATTACAGTTCCTGTTACAGGTTCATGTAGATCCTGTTTTGGGGGTTGTGTTTTTAACACATTTCTAGGGCTAGAGATCATTGAAGTGTTTCAGGCTCTACCACACTCCTGTCAGGAAGTTGCTCTATATGTCTCTATGTACCTGAGGCTGTAACTTCTGGCAGACTTAACTTGCTAACTCAGTAGTGATAAAGGCTAAATAAATCCTCCTCTTCCTGGAACTTGCATGGAATTAGGAAAGCTGGCAGTATTATTCATATTCATTACTGTTTGCATATAAATGTACTTCTTTCAGTTAACTCTCTTACATGATCAAACATTCAATGTTTCCCTAGCTGTTTTCTTCAGTCTAACAGCCAACTATAAAAATATTTTCATGCCAGCCTGATTTTGATCTTTGAATTCATCCTCAAACTGGTTCACTGGATTATCTTCATTTTTTCTTCTTACTGTTCATTGCTAGGTGATGCTTGTCAGGGCTCAATGGCATGATTAGCTTTCATCCCAGTGATACTTAGTTCTCTCTCCTTGTTGAATGTAGTTTACTTTGGTTTTGAAACACTACAGTCTTTTAACTTTGGTTACAGGGAATTTTCAAACTTTTTTGCCTTAGCAACTGCAGAAGTCGTCTGTCTAGCTCTTGCCAGGAAACTTTGTGAAAAAAATGTTAAAAATCAATGTTTAACATTCTTTTTGGATTTGGTATGTAGAATGTAGTTGATGTCAAATTATCTAATCTTCTGAACAAAGTGTTTCCTGAAAACTGAGTGACTGCTAATTTGACTGTAGTCAAACAAAGACTTGGGGTTTAAAAGTGCTTTAAAAGAAAATATGTATTTCTGTTTAAATCATATCAAGGTCTCAAGCCTTTCCAAAATATATCTGAACTGACTCAGCTTTCTTAGCAAGAGCCTACTGTACTTGTTAAATACCCAGTCTGAGATGAGGATTAAATTGGTGGCCTCAGCTGCAACTGAGCTTAGGCTGGACTTTGATTGCAATGTAATTGCCAATATTGCTAATACCTTTGGTGTGTGAAAGTAACTGAATAACATCCAACATGCATTTTGCAAACTATAATGAATTTTAAAATAAAGATAACTTGGTAAAAGAGAATGGTGAAGAAAATGCTGGACACATTCAATGTGCTGTTCATGACAAAAATGTGTTTTATTTTTGGTGTTGCTTTTATTAATGGGAAGTTGGTATTTTTAAGTACTTTTTCTACAAAAATGTAAGTGCAAAGGCAATACTTTAACATTTTTTAAGAACTTGTATTTTTAATTGCTACGAACCAGAGAATATACATTTGGACTGAAGATAGTAGCTTTAAAAAATGTAATGCAAGCTTTAATTTTTATATTGTAATAATAACTTGCTGTCAACTTGTTTACATATTTGTAGGATGGAAACTTCATTATGCATTGACTTACCTTGATGCTGTCTTTAATAAATGCTGCTTTGAGCAAGATGCAGTGGATATTTTATTACCTGAATTACTATTAACAAACTAGGCACTGTGTAATCTGTATTGTGTTACTTATTATAATGGTTCTAGCACCAAAAACAACCTAGCTGAACTTTGGAGAGACTTGAAAAACTCTTTAAAGTATGACTGAATTGCCCTTGAGGTTTTGCCATGAAGTCTGAAGCTAATTTAGGCTGAAATGAAATGTACCCTGCTAAAGACAACTTGAACTTGCTTTAGTGTCACCAGTTGGGTTAGATGTATGGTTCTGAGTTAATAATTACTGAGATGTTCAGTGTCCCAAAAGAGTGTAATTCCTGGGGAACTGCTGGACATCAAAGTGATTTTGTTTTATATTCCCTAGTCAGAGTTCTTCTGGTAATTCAGAGGAGGAGATGCATTGATGAATTTGGCTCTTTCCTTTTTCAACCCTCCTTTTGAGTCATCTGTTAACACCCCTACCAAAACCCAAGCAAAAACCTCAGTAACCACATTTCCTGGGCCTTGTTTGCAAGGCTTCCTGGCTTACTTCCTCAAATAAAAGAATTTCTTGATATGGCTAATTGAGGAGGAAGATTTAATAGACCGTAGCAATAATTAATTTTTAAGCATTATGACAATCAATCCCAGAAGCACAGACTGACTCTTAAGGGATCTTGCAGTGATTCAGTTTCTGATGTCAGAAAAGTTCATGCAGTACAAGCACCCTGCTAAGAAATTGTGGATGCCAGAAAGCAATGCTGAATTTTTTTCCTTTATTTCTTCATGTGACATTTAGCAGGAAGTGGGAGCACTCCTGAATGTGGGCTAAAAGCTGCCTTCCTGCTTTTTAACATGATGCTGGTAAGACCCACTCAGGGAATAATCTGATTATTCAAAACTAGTGGTGTTTTGTACATCTTAGCTTAAAATGTTAAATATTCAGCAGCAGCAATGGTGACAGGTTTTTGGGGTGTGTTGTTGTTGTTGTTGGTTGGTTTTTGGTGATGGGATATTTTTTAAGTTCTTAAGCATTGTGCATTTTCCCCACTAGTATGGGATAACAAATAGTGGAATATGGAGGAGAAATCTAATACATGTTGTAAAATCAGGAGACTTCCAAAATTATTTTCCTCCTTCCTGTAGATTTATTCAGGAATGGAATGGGAGCCTGTCTTATGTGTGCCTGCCTTTGCCAAAGTTCAGCAACAGATTGCTTTGTTTGCATTAGGATGGGAATTGTGGAAGCAGCTGGAGCAGAGACTACAAGGAGTTCAAAAGGTAGGATTTCACTGCTGTCTGCTGATTCACAGTGACTATGTGGATGGGCAAGCTAAGAAACTATTTAGAAAGTTCATTTTTCCAGGCTGTAACAGTTCCAAGGGAAGCAGCACTTTACCCTCACTTAGCTTTTCCTGTGTACCACACTCACTGTGTTGCTCACTGCTTCCTCAGGGAGCTGCACCACCCCAGCCAATCCTTCTCCTAATTTTAGTAAAAATGAACTAAAAATACTGAGGGAAAGTCATCCTACCTTACTGCCTTAAAAAATGGAATTTCTTTATATGGCTGAGGAGAAAGACTTTTTAAAAAAAGCCCCAAAGCAAACCTAAAACCCTGTATAAAGTTAGTGTGTTTGTAAACAAATGTAATGCTGATAAAAATGCAGCCATAACCGTGTGTTGTGCCTTCAAAACATAACCATGTCTTGAAGGAGCTGTGCCAATGGCCACTCACTGTGCTTTTGTCAACCCCCTTTTTGCCAGGTTTCGTTAATGATGGTAATGTCTCTGTCCTTGCTAACTTGGAGTTTCTCGTGCTGTTCATAGGATGTGGAGCTATTAATGATGGTAATGTCTCTAATCTTGCTAACTTGAAGGGAGTTTCTCGTGCTGTTCATAGGATGTGGAGCTTTTACGTGTTACTCTGCAAGCCCCAGGGTGAAAAGAGCATTTATAGTAGTTCAAATTGATCAGGACAATCTCCTGGCCTTTGGAGAAGGCTGCTGAGCAAAAGAAACCTTTGGTAGAGGCCTGCAATTATCTAGTCTAGATTGAATCTTGATGAAAAAACAATGCTTCTCTTAAAATCGAGGTCATGAAAGAAGGAAAGCTGCTGCCTTGTTCAAACCACATAGAACAACTGCCAGGCTGTTCTGCTCTTCTCTGGGGTGTCTCCTGCAGCTCCCCTTTGAGTGCCAGTTTGCTGGAGAGATGTGGCTGTATCCCTGTGAGTCCTGCCTGGACCAACCCCCTCTCCTGGCAGCCCCTTCTCTCCCTGGCCACATTTTTGTTGGCAAGCTACAGTTAAGTTTGAAGAATATTGAACAA